GGGGGGTCCGGTCGTGGGGCCTGAACTCTGGGCCTGGGTGCTGTCCCTCAGCTCTTCAGCTCAAGGCTAGCACTCTACCACTTGAGCCACAGTGCAACTTCCAGCTTTTTTCTTTTTGCGTATGTGGTGCTGAGGAATCGAACCCAGGGCCTCTGGCATGCAAGGCAAATGCTCTATCACTGAGCCACCTTCCCAGCCCTATAGTTAGATTTCTAAATGCAAAGAATCTGATGATTCAAGTTGCATAGCAGCTTAGTGCAGAAATGGAATTACAGGATGAAAATCAATGTCTGGGCTGAGAAGGTGGCTCAGTGGTAGAGTGCTTGCCTTGCATGCATGAGGCCATAGGTTCGATTCCTCAGCAGCACATAAGCAGAAAAGGCCAGAAGTGGCTCTGTGGTTCAAGTGGTAGAGTGCTAGCCTTGAGCTGAAGCACGAAGGGAGAGTACCCAGGCCCAGAGTTCAGGCCCAACGAATGACCAAAAAAAAAAGAAAAGAAAAGAAATCAATGTCATCCTGATGTTACTTTTATATAGTTTCCTTTCAGAGAAGTGGAAAGCATAAAAAAGAACACCTAATTGTGAATTTGCTGGACTACGACATTTGAAAATATTTATTCTGAGAACATGACCTGATAAATGTTAGAAATACATTGTTATAGATAGAAGAATAGATTTAGCCTTATGAAGCTTTCCAGTTTTTACTCTTAACCTCCTATCAGAAAACATTTTGTCCACCTTCTAAATTAAACCTGCTTCAGCCCCACTGCACCAAGGTAGCACAAAGTAAGCACTCTTTTCTCCTATTTCACCTTATACATTTTTTAGTACTTATGAAGCTCAGCTCAACCATAGCCGAATTATTCATGGTATCACATTAGTGACAAACATTGTTCTCTTTTAATTTTGCCAAACTTTTTGAGAGTTAATAACTTAAAAATCTAATCCATGCTTATTTCTGGAGAAGGGGAATATCTATACCATGCATTTAAAACACCATAAAGAGAACTGATAATTGGTCTTTTTTTTTTTTTAAAGATACAGCTGTGAACACTGGTAGAAGACAGGGAAAAGGCCTATCTGGAAATAAGCACCAAATGCATCATTCATGAGTAATAAGAAATCATCATTCCCACTCCATACATACTTACTATTACTACTAATGTACAAAGCAACATTACTGTTCTCTCTCTACCTTCCTAGAGTAGAAGAAGTCCACTAGATATAAAAGCAAGCTGACTTCATTTGCAGACCTTGGATCTGAAATACAGAGAAGAGCTCCTGCAGTTATCATTAAAGGTAGCATCTTATCTTGGGGGAGGGGAAAAAACAAATCGTTTAAATAGGGATACAGGTGGACCCATTGCAACAATGAGATATACAAGTCGTTATGTCAAAAAATGAATGTTACAATTTTGGTGGGGGGGGGG